TGGACAGTTTTACTGCAGGTCCCTGTTCTTGTAACAGTGTTTACACTATGAATCACAGACTGACTGTGCTAGTTCCTTGTAGATGAGGACCTGGGCAATTGGGTATATTGCCTGTACTATACAATATGGCTTAAGTGCTAAAATGTTAATGTGCATACCTTTTATTATTCAACATACACAATTTTTCCCAAACATTTAGTAGTCTGTCAGATTATAGAAATATATATATATTTATTGAGTTGCATTAGATTTCATAGCATTTCTATCTAAACATTAAGCAGACAGATAAACCTGATTACAAAATATGACAAAATCTGTAAATAAAACATTCACTCCACTGTTTTCAGCTTTCTTCAGAGTTTTCAAAAGTATTTGCAACTTAAAAGGGGAAAAAGCAAGATATTATGTTCACATAATCATTCAATTTGTTGCTCTGGTAAATGAATAGTTAGGCACACGGGCGACACTGCAGCACACCTGATATGGCATGCATTGCACTCTTTCCTATTGTAAGCCATGATCCCCACAGCTTTAGTGATGGGCCCACTGGCTCTTTCTTACCTAACCACACCTAGCCACTAACACTGCTGGTGCCATTTTCCCCTAAATGATAAAAATGCTATCTTTTGTAATTGCTGACTTGAGCCAGGCCCTGTGGGTTGGCTATGTATATTTTTTCCTTTGCTTCAGATAAAAAACAACCAAACCACTGGCTGTTCCATCATCCTAACTGATCAATTAGCATATATCGGCTCAATGCTAGCATTTTGTGGATAAAAAGGAAAAATCTGTAAGAGAAACAAAATGTCATCAATATTGTTTAATTTCAATGTGACCATATAAACAGCGCTATAAGATAAAATTAGGACTTTGTCTAGAGGCATAAAAACTTAACTTTGATTTGGGACTGTAACACAAGCATTTTGAATTAGAACCTTTTTCAGAAGAACAACATGAAGTGGAATGTATAAAAACAAGTAAAAAGTAACAAATTATGAACAACATCACCATATGGTGATGGAAAACAGGAATAAAAACATACAATTTAAATGAGTTGCCATAATAACTGCTTGTTTTTTGAAACGATTCTGATTACATAACAATTACAGTAGGGTAAATAGCACAATAATGAATTAAAAGCCATATGGCATGATTTGCCAATCCTGAAGGTGAATCCACTTCGAGAAAACCTAGAGTCCCAGATCTTCTTTCTTTATGCCGCAACCCAACAGGACATTTCCAGATTCCACACACTCTGACACACATGGCGCTAAAATGTAAGCGTAAGTTATTATATGAATAAGGAGAGGGCTGATTTTTTTTTTGTGGTTTCAAACAGTGTTTAAAAGAATACTTGATTTGATATTATCATTGTTTCTACCATTTTGAGCATGGATCCATGAGGCAGCCTTCATAGCCAGAAACTCCCACTCATCCTTTGCATCCACCTTGAAAGCATGAAGCCAGACCAGAGCCAGAATGGTGGCCCACACTTCACTGTTGGCCTAATTCATCAAATGAACACGTGAAAATCATGATCTCACTTTCTACAACTTTGCTAACATAAAGTAAAATAAGGCACTGAAATGTGTTCAGTAGAAGTTCTGACTGATGAGAAAACACTCTGCAGTGCAGCTCCGTGGATAGTTAGGAGTCATTACAACCAATATTTTATCCTCTAATATATACAGATTTGTTTTCATGCAGAAAGGCAGGGGCTACATTTAGTTTACTTCTTTTTGTTATGTTTTTTATATTGTACTCCCATGTTTTTAATTGCGTCCTATGTTTTTTTGATCAAATTATTCAATCAATTTTGTTTTAAATCTCATATTATCATTTTGTGTTATTACGTAAATTGACAGCCAGTGTTAACTTTGAGAGAAAATGTTAATTTAGTTTTAGTCAGTCGTTTTACTAAACATTTATTTTTATTTATAATTTAGCTGTCTAAATTCAGATGTGGTCAGCTAAATATTATAAGATTATAGTAGATGTAGTTTATTCAGCTGATTAAAATCTAACGTAAAGTGTAAAGCTTTGATGTGTTTTTGCTGGTAAGAGATGCTCCAAATGGTTTACAAAGCATCTTATTTTCTTTGATATCACATGCAAAATCTGTCCAGGTCTTCTTTTCCTTCCGAGTTTTTAACTTTTATCATGTTTTGATGATAAACAGGGAGCATGGGAGTTTCCCCCTGCTTGTCGGTGGCAGATCAAATTGTGGGTGTCTAACTAATATAACAAGGAGATTCCTTCTGATTTTATCACTTCCAAATTCGCCTCACCTTCCTACACAACTTAATAAGTTCTGATTGGATCTCTTCTCTCTAGAAAATCTCGTTTTTATTCATCAGTAAAACTGTCAATATATTTCAAGTTTTTGTCTTCCTACGTTCATTTTTATTGTGTTCTGTTTTTCCCTCACAAAGGTATTGATGAAAATTATGACAAAAATGATTAGTCAGCAAAATTCGGCCCACCGTTCTGGGTTTGATCTTTTCCACCTGCTCACTGGTCTTTCCCAGTGCAGTAGCCAGATCTGGATCAAGCAGCCAGGAACCAGACGCCTTCTGGAGGGAGACTAAGTGCATGAAAGGGTCTCTGGGTAGTTGCTTGGGCAACACAACTGGAAAATCAAAGATTAAACAAAAACCAGACCTCAATATGGTGATAGATAAGAAAACACAATTCTACATGACAGAGGAAAGCAAAAATGTAACAAACAGTGTACATAAGGCTTCCACACAGCAAATTAAGGGTTTTAAACAGAAACTGAAGAAAGACTAAAACTGGAAAGAAAAAAAAGATAGCTTTATTTTTTTCAATGTGTATACCACAAATAGGTTGATATTATTAATGCTTTTATCAAACAATAGCTTCTGAATGTAAACAGCAAGTAGATTTGAGATGACGCACACACATACTGAGGATCATATAATTTCCTCTGTGGGTATTATATGAGCCATATTTATAGAACAAATATTTTTTGGAGCTTACAGTCAGCTTTTTTCGTACCCAACATAGATTTTACTGTAAGGTAGGCATTCATCACCATGATGTTTATATAAAAACAGTATATTTAAAATATTATATTTGAATTTGTTCAAATATTGTTTAAAAGTTGGGTCAAGACATTTGCTGAAGAATTTGTCATTAATTGGACTTAAAGGGACTTTCATAGTTTTTACTCTTTTCTACAGAAAAAACTGAAAAGTTCCAAACTATAAAGTGACACATTAACACCTCCTACGGCCCACGTGTACACATATGATCTAAATCCTCTCTAAATCCCACAAAGACATGGCAGCTGGAAATACAAACCACATATAGAGAGACTTGTAAAGAAACTGAGACTTAAACT